CCTGCTTTTTAAATTTCCATTTGACATATAATATTATTAAATATTTATGGGGTACATTGTGATATTTTTATACATATACACAATGTGTATTGATCAAATTAGGGTAATTAGCAAATATATCACATCAGATAGTTATTGTTTTCTTGTGTTGAAAACATTCAAAATCCTCTCTTTTAACTATTTGAAGATATATAGTAAATTATTGTTAGCTGTAATCACCTGAAAGTGCTATAGAATGCTAGAACTTCTCCTATCTGGTTGTAATTTTGAATTTGTTTAGCCAACCTCTCCCTTTCTCCTCACTTTTCCCCATATCTCATAACCACTATTTTATTTTCATGTCTATCACATCAACTTTTAGCTTTCAAATATGAGTGAAAACATGCAGTACTTATTTTTCTGTGTTGACTTATAATCCATGTTGCTGCAAATGACAGGATTTTTTTAATGGCTGAATGATATTCCATTGTGAATATATATCACACTTTCTTTATCCATCTGCTGATTACCTTGCTAATTCCATATATCTGGTACTGGGAACACTGCTGCAACAGGGAGTACAGATATCTCTCTGAAATGCTATTCCCATTCTTCAAGATATATGCTCAGTAGTAGGATTGCCATATCACATGGTAGTTCTGTTTTTAGTTTTTTTCTTTTGTTTTTCTTTTTTTAAGAGACCCTGTGCTTTTTTTCGTAATGGCTTTACTAGTTCACATTTCCAACAAAATTGTGTAAGAATTTCCCTTTCTCCACGTCCTCACCAACATTTGTTTTTGTTTTTCTTGTATTTCTTTTTTATAATAGTCATTTTACTGGGGTGAGATGATATCTCATTGTGGTTTTGGTCTGCATTTTCTCAGTGATTAGTGATGTTGAACATTTTTTCATGTACGTGTTCACGTGTGTATATCTTCTTTTACCTATTTTTTAATCTTATTTTTTGCTGTTGTTTGAATTTTTTGTATATTCTCAATATTAATCCCTTGTCAGATGAATAATTTGCAGATGTCTCCCATTCTGCAGGTTGGCTCTTCACTCTGTTCATGATTTCTTTACTGTGCAGAAAGTATTTCGTTTGATAACTCAGTGTGTCTATTCTTTTGTTGCCTATGCTTTAGAAGTCTTATTCATAAAATCCTTAAGACATTCCATTAGTTTAAGAGGTTATTTGAAAAATACCTAGAGAAGGAGTGACCGTAGAGTAGTTTGAAAGCAATCAAGAGAATGATGTTTTTTAAAAAAAATTCTAGGAAAAGTAACCTTTCCAAAAGACTGGCATGGTCCAAGTCTTATTTTGTTCCAAGTAAAAGATTGAGACAACTCATTGTATTTCTTTATAGGGAGATTTTGGTCGGTCAAAAGGTGAAGTGGTTTAAAAAAATATTAACTGCATTTAAATTTTAGTTTGTGAAGGAAGAAGCAGAGAATAGAAACTATAATAAATAGTTTAAGAGTATGTTTTTATTTTAAAATTGGACATGATCATTTGATATGAGTATGTGGATTGAGAATAGTGGAGAGGTTTCTGGTAAAGGATATTTGATATGTAAACATCAATATAAAGCTCCAAAATAAAGCATAAAATGGGATTTCATGAGAAAAACCAGGCATGTTTATCATTAGAGAATATTTTATTTTAACATAATCAGATGGGTATGACTTCCTGTCAGTAAGCTGAAGTCTTCTCAATTGTCTAATTCATCAGTGTAGCAGAAGCAGGCCATCCAATCTGTTGAAAGTGATGGGAAAGGCGAATATGTGTGAGATGCAAAGGACATAAAAATGGTTTGAAAGAATTATGAAACATAGAAAAATAATTAACAGCATTTAGAATGACTGTTAGATTTACTTAATAGTTACTGAGAGTTTTGACTGTGTATTTATACCCGGATTAATATCCTAGACATGTGTTAGATAGAGTCACTGAAAAGGGAAAAATTTGCAGTTACTGGTACTGGTGTCTTTTTCAGCAGATTTGATAAAAGTCAAGAGGGACATACGAGTTGTTGGTCTTGGTTCTACTCTGGTAAAATAGTTAATGTGGATTAAACTGAGCAATACAAAGGGGAAAGTTGGGAATGATGGAAGGGAAGTGGGATAAATAAACTGTGGGGTTCCCATGTGGTAGAGGAAGCTAAGCATGGGAGATGATCCTGTGAACAACTAAAAGGAAAGACAGTTGTGATTACTAATTATTGATCTGTGAAGCGACATTGCTAGTAACACCCAAATATGGTTTATAACTGTCAAGATGTCCACGTTTGAAATCTTAGGTGGGGAAACAATTCTAACAAATTTCAATTATTATCTGTGTCATTATCTAGCTATATAGTTTTGACTTATACCTAAAGCTTTTGAATTAAAAAAAAAATCATCACGGTAATCATGAGGATTAAATAAGCAGTTACATACACATTTCTGAGCAAATAGCCACATTTAATAAAACTCTATTTTTTAAAATTTTGTCTGGACTTCATGTATAAGGGGTGAGTTAAACCTTTTGTTTATGAAATAATATCCTGATTTGTCCATGAAAAATACATTTAAAAAAATATGTTTTGAAAATCTTTTGAATTAGCGTTACATATGCAGATTTGTTATGTGGCTATATTGCATGATGGTGAGGTTTGAGGCTTCTGTTGAACCCCTCACCCAAATAATAAACCTAGTACTCAACAGATAGTTTTTCAATCCTTATCCTCTCTCTGCCTCCCCCCTTTAGGAGTCCCCACTGTCTGTTGGTTTCATCTTTATGTCCATATGTACACAGTGTTTAGCTCTCATTTATAAGTGAGAACATGCAGTCTTTTGTTTTCTGTTTCTGGGTTAATTTGTTTAGGATACTGGTCTCTAGTTACGTCCATGTTACTACAAAAGACATGATTTCATTCTTTTGTATGCATGTGGAAAAGTACTTTACTTTTAGTTAGAGGGTCTCATTCTGTCCTCCAGGCTAGAGTGCAGTGGTTTATCATAGCTCACTGCAGCCTCAAATTCCTGGGGATCAAGGGATCCTCTTGCCTTATCCTCCCAAGTAAATGGAAATACAGGCACATACCCACCACTTTTGTCTAAGTTTTTATTTTATTTTATTTTTTGTAGAGATGTGATCTATGATACACCCAGGCTGGTCTTGAACTACTGGACTCAGAAGATCTTCCCACCAAGGCTTCCAAAAGTGCTGAGATTGCAGGTGTGAGCCATAGCACCTGGCAAAAAATACATTTAATTATTAAAAATATTGTGACAGTTTAAAGTTTAGAAATTTTTGCAAGTATGTATTTTATCAAATGATGATTAATATAGAACATGATTCCAGCTACCATTTTAATAAAATATCAAATGGAGCAAATATATTTTCTGACAAATATGTTTTCTCACAATACCTGATTGTTCCACACTGAGTAAGGAACTCCTAGAATTTTCTTTTGGGGAGAAAGTTAACACTTTGAGTACTGAGCTAGGTGACTTGTCAAACTCAATGGTGTCTATCACCTAATCTTTAAGATAGGGTTGTCCACGTTTTATTTATTACCAACAATAGTTAAATACTCCTTGCTTTTGACTCTGGGAATTAAGAGTGCCCCATCACACCTCTTAGTGCAACTTTAGTGTTCCTGTTAGTCGGCCTGGTGGGAGTGTCACAGCCAGGTAATGTTTAGGAGGTGTAAGGCTGGCGGGTCTGGAATTGTGGACCAGACTGGATTTGCATGGCTCCTTTCTCTTTACTCAGCTTTTCCTGCTTATTGTTTGCACTGTCATTGAGTGAAATTCTCAGGAAGACATATGGCGGCTGAATTCGTTAGAATGAAGCCCCAGGTGAGCAGAGATTTCTTACTCATGGCCTGATACCTCTGTTGCCAGCCGATGGGTAAGTTCCTCCTTTTGGCCTGAATCTTCTATGTGCCCTCGGTAAGTATTCAAAATAAGAACTCCAGTCAAGTTTTCCCAGGACTCTGGGATGATTGCAGTAGGTCTTGGACTGATTAAGAAGCAATTTCTTTTCTACACTTTATACCAATATGTTTCACCTTCAATTAAGCCTATATATTTTCAGAAGAAATGTGGGAGGTTTTTGTGATCTCATCTAGCTCCTGACTTCGGTGGGGGAAATATTTCACCCGATAATCCTGTTAGTGACTGCAATTCACTTAAGGTTGTAGTAAACGCAGGAAATGGAGATGAGTTAGAGCAGTCACTCACAGTTCAGGAAGGTGAGTGGTTGTTTGCAACTTAAGTTCATTCTGTTCGTTGTTACTGACGCTTGGGTGAGAATTGTACAGTGTGTTTTTTTGTTTGGTTGGTTTTTTTGAGTCGGAGTCTCACTCGGTCGCCCAGACTGGAGTGCAGCGGCCGCTCCCGGCCACCGCAGCCTCGCCTGCTGGGCTCTGGCGATCCTTCCGCCTCAGCCTTCCGAGTAGCCAGAATTACAGGCGCGCGCTACCACACCCGGCTGATTTTTTGATTTATTGTAGAGATGAGGTCTCGCTGCCCAGGCGGGTCTCGAACCGGCGGGCTCAGGCCATCCACTCACCTCAGCCTCCCAAAGGCGCGGGATGACAGGCCGAGCCACCGAGCCGGCTGTTGTGCAGTGTTAAAGGGAGCATGAGCCAATGCCCTAAAGAGAAGTTACTCGTTTTCTTAAATTTTGAACTTATTAAAAGTAGCATATGCAAATACTTCAGCTACTTCCAAAAGGGTAACATTCTCCTTTCCACCCTTGTCTTCAGTCATCCATTGTTTCCTCCCTGCGTTTAAAATTCATCAGCCTTTAACATCTGGATGAAATTGATAGGGAATACTGTTTCTTTAACGTAGCTTTGAAAATGTTATGGTACTGTCATCATTTGCAAAGAACTAGGAGAGACTACATCCAGTCAAAAAGCTTCTACTACTGTTGGACAAAAAGAAATAGGCTGCAGAAACAAGATACACAATGAAGATCAATGCTGGAAGGTAACAGAAAAAAAACGAGCCTGTGAGGGGCTAATAAAGGAAGGTCACTATAAGACTGTTCTTAAGAAGAGAAGTATCAGGGACCCCTAACAGTACTCCAGAATCCAGAAGCCCTTATATTTTAAACAGAAAACTGAACTTTGCTGAGAAGAGCACTTGCTGACTCCATGTTTGGTATGAAAGCAGTTTATTCTGGAGAATTCTGGGCATTTCTTCACATTCCTAAGCCATTCAGTAATAATTGGACCTTCCACTTGTAATTTTTAAGTGTCTTCTCTATATTAATCATTTAAATATTAGCCTGAGGGACTCTCGCCAATACTAAACCTTTTCAGAGATGAGGAACCTGAGATTCATATGATGACTGATCCACCTATACTCAAGTTAAAAGGTGGCAGGTTAGTGATGTTGTTTCTCTTTGATGTATCTGTCTATTCCCTTAAAATTCCTGGGAAGGAACTATAGTTATGATTATGAAGTACATATAATTAAAAATATGGACATCAAAATGTCTAGGTACTGGTTGTTTCACAGCATGTATCGTGTGATACCTTTTATAGTGAAGTAACTGTGTTCATGATATGTGCATTTCTCTTTGTGCATGAAAGGCACACAGTGAAGATCAATGCTGGGAAGTAACAAACAACTGATAATATGAGGGCCCAGCAAAAGGTGGGTTATTACAAGACCGTTCTTAAGACCCATAAACTAGGTTTGCTCTTTGTCTTCATGTACAGCCCTCTTCCCCAGCACTTTCATGCCACCCTTCCTTCTCTGGACACTGGTGGTCATGGACTTGGAGGAACCCGAGTGTCAGTCAGATGTCCTTGATGTTTTAGGAATCAGTGACCTTCAAAGACATACTCGTAGACTTCACCCAGGAAGAGTGGGCCCTGCTTGATGCGTCCCAGAGGAGCATGTACAAAGACGTGATGCTGGAAAACATCAGTCATCTGGTGTCTGTAGGTGAGTCTGTTCATGTTTGTGTCTGTATTTATTAAACAAGAATCCAGAAAAGCTGCTACATATGCCACTCCAATCTCTGATTCATATCATTTTTCCTAATATTAGCTTCCTGACAATGTGTGTATACCTTTTTTGCTAGTACAAGTACACGCTGCACTGCAGTGCTGGGAACTCAACATTCAATGGGCAAATTAATATCTTGTGTGTTTTCTAAAGGAATTATTCTGCACTGCACACTATGCAGACGCTTTAGCCCCCAGTAGAAAGTTTAGCAACTGTATGTAGACTTCCACATTAAACTCCAGAATATTCTAGTGGAGCATATGCTTATTTTACTTTCCTTTAAAATAATAAGACCTCCCTGGAAACATTTATTATTATTTTTTTTAATTTTAAAGATGTGGGGCACAATTCAGGGTTAGGTATACAAATGTTCATTATTCAGGCACCCTTATTGATGAGGTGTGCTCCCCCTCCCAGCAGTTTCCCACTTCTGCCAATCCTTTTCTTATAGTATTACGATAATTGTTTAAGTGCTGCTTATGAGTGAGAACATGTGGTACTCAGTTCTTTGATTCTGTGATAGATCACTGGGTATGATAGACTCTACATCCATCCAAATTGCTGCAAAGTCCATATGTTCGTTTTTCTTTATGGCTGCATAACACTTCATCGTGTATATGTACCACATTTTTTTTTTTTACCCAGTCCTCTTTCAATGGGCAGCATGGTTGGTTCCATGTTTTTGTGCAGGAATCTTTTTCACAGAGTTATTTGAGTTCCTCTGGGTATATTTCCAGTAGGGGGACTGTGGGGTCATATGGGAGGCTGATTTTTAGATCTCTTAGGAATCACCACACTGTTTTCCACAGAAGCTGTATACTAGTTTACACTCCCACCGACAGGGTAGAAGTGTTCCCTTTTCCCTGCATCCTCTCCAGCATCTGTTGTTTTTGAGTTGTTGATGGTGGCCATTCTGAGTGGAGTTAGGTGGAATCTCAGTGTGGTTTTAATTTGCATTTCTCTGATGTGTCTGTTGGCTGCTCATATGTCTTCTTTTGAGAAGTGCCTATTCATATCTTTTGCCTACTTTGTAATGGGGCTGTTTGGTTTTTTTTCCTTTCGGCACTTTTGAGTTCCTTGTAGATCCTAGATGTTGGGCCTTTGTCAGACATACAGTTGGCAAATATTTTTTCCTAGTCTGTAGGCTTTCTCCCCACTCTCTCAGAGTTTCTTTGGCTTTGCAGAAGTTGTCAGTTTGATGAGATCCCACTTGTCTATCCTATCTCTTATGGCATGGGCACTTGGGGTTCTGATCAGGAATTGGTTGCCAGTTCCAATTTCCATAAGGTGTCTCCTGCATTTTTTAAGGTTCTTACAGTGTGAGTTTTTCTGTTTAAGTATTTGATCCATTTATAGTTGATTTTTGTGTATGGTGATAGATAGGGGTCCTGTTTCAATCTTCTGCATGTGGTCAACCAGTTTTCCCAGCACCATTTACTGAATAGGTTCTCTTCTCCCCAGTGGTTAGTGGTGGAGGCTTTGTTGAAGATGAGTTGGTTAAGAAATTCATCAATCTATTTTTTGAGTGGAAATTCTGCATATGCTTCTCTGGCTTTGAGGTTGGGTATGAACACCAGCGACATAGGTCCTTACTATATCTGAATGTGGTTTCTTCAAGAGAAGGTGAAGAGCTCCCCTTGTACTTGGCCTGCCCTTCAGTGTTCAGTGAACTTCCTTGGTAACCTTTAAATGTGTCATGCATTGTCTCAACACAAAATTTAATGTATCCACTATTAATAATTTAAATATTAGCCTATAGGAACTCTCATAATATATACTGTTTTACATACCTTTAGTCCAATAAAGAAATCCATGTATCGTTTCCCATAACTAGAGCATCAGCTCTTCACATAAGATTTGATTTCCCAGTTGACACAGGGAAAAGACCTATGGAGGGAAGACAGCACCCCAGTATCTAACCCCAGATGAGCTCCATGAAGATGTCCTCAGTATGAGGAACAGCCTGTTCTGTGAAGAAGCAAGACCTTAAAGGAGTCAGTTCTAGACTTCCTTGGGTCTTTGGTAGTTTCAGAAAATTATAAGACAATTGAGGCAAATTTCTCAGGTTGTGTCATTATTTGTCACACTTATCAGTTATGTTCAGATACACTCCTACACTGTCTTGACATCAGAAAAGCATATTCAGGTCCTCATCAGAGCTAAAGTTTTGCACGGTAACTTGTCATAGTTCTTTCCCTTTGACGATCTCCCTCCCAAACTACTGTGATATCTCAACTTTTTTCCTCACTTAAATGCAATTAACTTTATCCTAACCTGTTACCTGTTTTTCTGTATATTCTCCAGTTTCACATCAGTTTCCCCTGTGATGGTCAATATTTTAAATACACTCACATAGGCCTTGCATGAATGTTAACAGGCTTATTTTACTAATGCCATGCAAGCCGTGTATTGTATTTTTCAATTTCTTCAGGCAGACAAAGTGACTGCAAAAAGGAAGAAAGAATCCCCACTCAAAATATCTTTAGGAAGGCCCTGTCTATCTGCAAGATCACAGTAAGTTTTACGAATTTGAATTCTGGTTTTCCATTAATATAATATGTAGAGATATAATATAATATGGGAATGGGCTATATTAGGAATTCAGGAGAATCACGTATCTGCTGATAGAATTTAGTGCAAACATTGTACCAACAGAAAGGTAGATAATTTCAGCTTAGGAAAGGGAATAACTTAAACTTAAATCATAAATTGTGTTCATACATATATATGTATATATATTTTATTTTTTATTTTTTTATTTTTTTTGAGTTGGAGTCTCACTCTGTCACCCAGACTGGAGTGCAGTGGCCGCTCCCAGCCACCGCAGCCTCGACCTGCTGGGCTCCGGCGATCCTTCTGCCTCAGCCTACAAG